TATATGCTTGTGTGAGTGTACTAGTACAACCCATGTCAGCAAGTAATATCAAAACATCGAGTAGCTTATCTAAGAAACATAACAAGTCACGTAAGGTGCATGACATGCACAAGGAAAAACACACCATCACACGAATATCACCAACAAAATGCCCCCAGGCCATCACACATCATCCCTGACATTGCCACTCTTATCTCTCCGATAGCCACCCGTATCACTCCGCCCTCACAATATCATTAGCCACTCGTATCACTCTGGTAGCCACCCGTATCATTTTGCATAATAGCCACCCTTATCGCTTCGCCTGGACAATAATGCAATAGCCACCCATATCACTCCGCACAATAAACAACAGTGAGATGCCACCCTTATGTCCCGCACAACAACAACAACAGTGAGATGCCACTCTTATGCTTTGCATAACAACAACCAATCCACACAATAATTCACATGTGCTAACATCACAACAACACAACATATCAACTTGTACCACAAGTGACCATAGGCCACAACCTTTCCAAAAGAACCAACAATATCAATGTTTCCACAACAAATAGCCCACGGCTCAAACACAATGTGTATAGAATCTCAATAACAACAAAATGAATGGGAAAGTAACTCAACTATGAACAACACCCCCTTTAACCACAACTTCAATTAAAATAGATTAATAAGTTCCAATAACTTCAACTTCACTTAATTGCTTAAGGATAAACTCGATAATGAAGGTATTTCCATGAAATGGCAAATTTCGGATTCTAGTGTATGAAATAGGATAACAATGAAAGAGATGGCACGAACTAGCAACTACGACTAATTGCATGAGACTAACCCGACAACAAAAGGATATCATATAACAACAATTTCAATTAAGAGTAGCTCAACAATAAAATAAGTCACATAATGATAAAAGAGGTAACAACTTCAAATAAAGTATATAATAGTAAACTTGATAAGTAAAGGATGTGACATGTAACGATAACTTCAAATAAAGCATGTGATAGTAAACATGACGAATAAAAGATACAACATGTGCTAACAATTCCAAATAAATACATGAAAAAAGTCTAAGAGTCTAAATCGGTCAAAGAAGCCAAATCAATACTCTAAAATGACCTTCTCGTGCGAAACAATCTTCGGACGACTCAAATCTAGCCAAAATAGCTTAATATCATAAATAAAAACCATAGGAAACAACTTTGGATAATAAAGTTTCGATCTTTAATGAAAACTAAAAAGTCAACCCAAAAGGTCAACCCTGGGCCCGCACCTTGGTACCCAATAAAACTTATAAAATTCGAACACCCATTCTGATACGAGTCCAACCATACCAAAATTATCCAATTCCGACATCATATCGGCCTTCAAATCCTTATTTTACATTTTTGAAAGTTTTTATAAAAATCCCCAATTTTCTCCAACTCAAATCACTAATTTAATGATAAAAACAAATATGGAATCATGAAATATAATCAAATCCTGGTGAAGAACACTTAACCTAATCCAAAGCATGAAAATCCCCCCCCCCCCAAAATAAATCGCCCAAAACCGAGCTCTTTAACCCAAAAAGTGATAAAATATCAAAAGCCCTCAAAATAGAGTACTTTATATTCTTCCGAGTGAATTATACATCGCAATTGCGGAATATCCCTCGCGATCGCGAAGAATAAAACCTTCAGCTTCCAAATCGTACTTCGCGAACGCGACACTAAGGTCGCGAACGTGGTGACCAAGATCTTCAAACTCTACGCGAACGCATCTATGTGCACGCGAATGCGAAGAGAAAATTACTTGATGCCCTTCCACCTCATTTTTGCACGATCGCGGACCACTGCATGCGAACGCGAAGATAAAAGTCTTCCAAGCTTCACGAACGTGTTCACATATTCGCGAACGCGAAGAAAAAATACTGGCTGCCTACAAATTACACTACCCGAACCTGGTAACATCAACGCGAATGCGATGAAGAAAACTAGATAGCAGAACCAGCATTTCAAAACATGAGAAAATGGACCGTAGCCCATCCGAAATGCACCCGAGGTCCCCGGGACCCTGTGTGAACATACCAACAAGTTCCACCATAAAACGCAGACCTGCTCGAGGTCTCAAATCACATTAAACTACATCAAAACTATGAATCGCACTTCAATTCAAGCCTAATGAACTAATGAACTTTCAACTTCTATAACTCGTGCCGAATCATATCAAATCAACCCGGAATGACATCAAATTTTGCATGCAAGATTCATATGACACAACGGTTCTATACCAACTCCCAAAATCACAATCTAAACCTGATATTAATAAAGTCAACTCCCGGTCAAACCTCTCAACCTTTCAAACTTTTAACTTTTCAACTTTCGCTAAAATGTATCAAATCAACCTACGGATCTCCAAATCCAAATCCGAGCATACTCCTAAGTCCAAAATCACCATACAAAGCTATTGGAATTATCAAAATTCCATTCTGGAGTCGTCTACACAAAAGTCAAACTCCAATCAACTCTTGCCACTTAAGCTTCTAAAACAAGAATCATTCTTCCAAATCAATCCCGAATCATCCGAAAATCGAACCCGGGCACCCACACAAGTCATGATACACAATACGAAGCTGCTCGAGACCTTAAGCCACCGAACAGAACACTAAATCTTAAAATGACTGATCAGGTCGTTACACATCGACAGGGATCGGAAAGCAGGAATCGACATTTTCAACCAAACCCATTCCCCCAGAGTGCTTGAACCTTTTCTGGCGGTGTATTTTGAAGCTCTCCCGGTTGAGCACCCGGTTGAGCTGATGAAGACCTTTTTCTTCTTTGAAGAGGGGCATCTTCATACTAGCCCCTTCTTCATCATCAAGGACCAATGTGACCGGTCCAGTTGATGTTCCTCCCACTCTCTTCTCCCGAGTCCCAGTCGAGGAGGGACGCTTCCTCTTTGGTTTCTTATTTTTGAAGTGGGGACTCCGGGAGGAGGCACCCTCACCGGAGGCACAAGTAGATCCATGAACCCTACTCCGATTAAAGGCATTCTGCATTACCCATTCGGCCTTCTCATGGTCATCGAGAGACTCAACGTCGGGGCACACGACGGAACTCTTTGGAAGTCCTGTGTGGAGCAAAAAGATAATTAAGAGATTGCTCCTAAGTTGTTAAGAGTGAAAGAAAGAAGAATTTTTGCTTACCGTGGTTCTTGGCTTTTCACCCATATTTGGGAGTATCTCTTTCCACCATCAGGATTTTGGTGTAGTGATACCCTGAATTTTCTGTACCCATCGGTCCAGGCCTTGAACCCTTACCAATGGGTAGCTAGAACAAAGGGGATAAAAAATCAGCAGAGAAGGAAGTTTTTCTTTTAACGAGGAAAGAAAATAGATTCCCGAAGACTTACGAAAAAGATTCCATGATTCAGTAAAAGTAGGAGTTGTGGCCGGGATGATGTCTCTGGTAAAAATGACAACGAACCATTCCATCCATCCACGGTCGTTGTCCTCATCAACACTAGTAAGGAGGATGTGATGACCACGCTTGTTGAGGTTTAGCACACTCCCACGGAAGATCTTTGGGGACTAAAGGTTCATCATATGCGCGAGAGTTAGGGTTTCCCCAGTCTCAACGCATAATTGGCAGAGGCAGACCACCGTACGCCATATGGATGGGCCTACCTGTGCCAAGAAAACTTGGTACCAGTGGAAAGATTCTAAGATTATTGGGTCAATTCCTTCACCCGCTCCCAAGGTGAAAGGGCCCAAGTGAATGGGTATGTGTAGACATACATGAACCCCGGCTTGGAGTAGGTAACCCATTATATTGCATCGGGTTGAGGATTTCGACATTACCCCAATTATATTCCTCCTTCATAACAGGTATGCTAGAAGGATAAATGGAAGAAGTGTATCTACGAACAGGCCAGAACCTGTCACTTTTAGAATTTGGAGGTGGTTTATGCTCTTGAAGGTCGGATGTCGTGATAAAATGAAATGGTATGATGGTGTTTACGGTTGGAGCTTCAGAATCGACGTTAACCTCTTTGGTTTTGTTCTTCTTTAGACCCCCACAGAAGAGAAGGCCAGCATTTTTGGAGAAATTAGTGTTAGAAGACATGTTTATGAGGAAACAATTTTACTGAGAAAGTTGAATATTGTAGAAGAGCTCTAAGGAGATTCAAAGAAGAAAAAGAAGTTGTGAAAGTAAAGAGTGAAAATGATGAGTAGTGGAAAAGTTATAAACGACAAAAATCATAGTCTTGATTACCCCGAAAATCGGTGAAAATATTTTCTAAATCACGGGGCAACACGTGTTCAGGTCATTAATTGCGAGAAGACGTGCGTCCTTTCAAATGTCAGAAACCGTTCAGGAACTTTCACACCAAGAAAGGAATTCTTATCTACTTCCCGGTAACACTAAGTTGCATCACCGAAAAGTAGGGGGATTGTCTGTATAGGATAAAATTGGTTAATGACAGCTGGGCGAAAGACAAAGTGACACGTGAAACTAAAGACATGTGAGATAGCAAACAACTGGCACCGGATACAAGTGTGCAATCAGTGCTGAACAAGTCCCAAAGACAGAGCAGCCGGTAACAAAGATTCAAAGCTTTGTCATCGAGTAACATTCAATGGGCAGTCGTTATAGAGAATACCTGTATTTATAGCCAACTGTTATGCACCCATCAATGCCAATTTTTTTCTCATTTAAGAGGAGCTTGATATGAGGATCTTGTCTCCTTGAATAACGCTATAAATAGAAGGATTAACATCCATTGTAGACACAAGAAATCTCTGCACACAAAAAGCTATAATCTATTGTCATATTAAACTCAATTCTAATACTTGAATATTGCATTCACTCTTGTCATCGAAAATGCTAAGTTCTTAGTTGGGCTTTTTATCTTCTTTAATTTCATTTGACAATCTTACTTTTGTTCTCATTTGCTTATTATTTTTGGGTCAAATCGATTCGCTTGTCCATAAACCACGCTATAAATTTAACTATATTATTTTACGGGTAAACAATACCCATCAAGGCTAATCTCTCACACCTTCTAACAAGGGCTTCTGCACTTTTCTTTTTAACATGTCTGAACCATCTCAACCTCACCTCCGCCATCTTATCCTCCACGGGGGCCACATCCACCTTATCCCAACTAACTTTATTCCTAATCCTATCTAACCTGTTATGTCCACATATCCATCTCAACATCTTCATCTTAGCTACTTTTATCTTTTGAATATGAGAGTTCTTGACCGGCCAACACTCTGCCCCATACAACATAGTTGGTCTAACCACTACTTTGTAGAACTTACCTTTAAGTTTTTATTTTGTTGAACTTACCTTTAAGTTTCAGTGGCACATTCTTATTACACAAAACACTTGAAGCGAGCCTCCACTTCATCCGCCCTGCTCCAATACGATGCGTAATGTCCTCATCAATCTCTCCATCACCTTGTATTATTGACCCAAGGCACTTTAAACTTCCTCTCCGGGAAATGACTTGTTTATTCAGTTTCAAATCCATGTCTGCTTCTTGGGTAACGTCGCTGAACTTACACCCCAAGTACTCCGTCTTAGTCCTGCTCAGCTCGAAACCCTTTTACTCAAGAGTCTGTCTCCAAACCTCCAATCTCTCATTAACACCACTCCTCGTCTCGTCAATCAGAACTATATCGTCCGCAAATAACATACACCAAGGCACTCCCCTTGTATGTGTCGCGTCAGTGCGTCCATTGCCATGGAAAATAAAAACAGACTAGGAGCTGATCCCTGATGATGATAATATTTTACTGCTAATAAACAACAAATTTCACATTTTAAAAAAAAAAAAAGGTACTTTAACTATATTTCTTTTCCCAAATGTTGAGGTCACTTACAGATTGACTGATTAAGTGACTTAAATGTATGCAAACGTTGGTTAGCCAAGATCCTCCTTATCAAAAAAATAAAATAAAAGATCATTAGGTTAATATTTTCTCTAAACCCTACATTAAAACACCAAATTTCCAATTAGCACAGAATCATGAAAATGCCAAAATGTCCTAAAAACTCCTCAGGAACAGCTTGATTGGATGGTTGTTATGTATCGTTTCTTAATGTATCATATTGTATTGTATTGTACTGTATCATTGTGATATATACAATGTTTGGATAGATTGTATTATTTTCCATCGTTTCATGATGTCATGCACCAATAATATGAAAAATAAACTTGCAATATTATAAAGAAAAATTAAGGTACGAGGTAGAGTTATTATATACAAATGTAGGGTAAAAGATAAAATAAGATTATCTAATAATATAGAAGGGCAAGATGAGAGAAAAAAATAAGGGAATGACACGACCCCACCAAATCGGTCGTTCCATAAAGTTGCACTTTTCGTCATTACGTAACGACGAATTTAACGATACACTATAATAAAATTTAAGTAATAATCAAAACAAATATTGTATTTAAAGTAACAATACGATACTCCCTCCGGTCCACAATAAGTGATTTTTTGGCCTTTTTTTTGTGGTCCAAAATAAGTAATTTTTTCAGATTTCAAGAATGAATTAATTATTTTTTTCCTACATTGCCCTTGAAGTAAATAATAAATAATGTTGGAGTATGTGTTAGTGAGCGTTTATGTGAAGAGATAGTATAGGTTAATATGGTCAATTTCATTATTAATTAATGTTAAAAAGTAAATTTCTTAATATGTGTAAAAACATTCAAAATATCACTTATTGTAGACCGGAATGAGTACAATACAAGAGGTAACAACCATCCAAACAAGCTTTAAATCGTGCAACTTCCAAGAATAGGCAATTATAATTATTTACAAATAAAAATAAAGAAAGCAATTATGGGAACAACAAAATTAGGATGACGTTGATACGTTATCCTGAAAAATGGACCGTCCAAAACAAGAGCCGCATAGAAGAGAAGAGAAGCGAGTGGGGCCCTGTCCCAATTGCACACCTACTTGCAAGGAGAGTGACAGCTAATAGGACAATCAATTCTTTGGTCCCCCAACTGGAATTTGCAGCAGTCTCCCATTAATTTCTGGCATAAAATAAAATTGAGAAAAGAAAATGAGTAGTCTGTTAAGTGTTAAGACTGCAATTGAACAGTGTGGATAAATCACCTATAAGATACCATGCAAAGCTTCAATCTTTCTGTGCTTACAATAATCTCTCACTTCTGAAGATGATTGCAGTAATTAAGGATATTTTATGTCCATTTTAATAGTGGGTTTCTGATGTCCATTTTAATAGTGGGTTTCTGACATGGCCAATCAGTTTGTGCATATATTATTGTGTCAATGCTTTCCAATATTTTATTACACTTCTTACCCAATTATTGCAGTTCCCTTTCCTTGTCCGAAAATATGCCCTCGTCTTCAATTATTAGTCCTGATTTCCAAAAATACTATCTCTCAGATTATTTATTTTTTTAGAAATTCAAGATAAGATTTTTTTTTATCCTTATTAATAATTGTTCTTAAAGATGAAGATTGCACATAAATAGAGTAAATATTCAATGTTGAGAGATTATATCTTAAGATATAAATAAGGGTAAAAACACTCATAATTAAAATTTTAAGGAGCCTGCAAAAGAAAAACACGATAAATAATTTGGGATGGAGGGAATAATAAAAAAATCGATTATGTCAATATAATTGCATACTGATTACGAGGCAAGTAAAATGTCATTTTTTTTATGATAACATACATACCTACAATTGTTGCCAAAACGTTTTTAAGCTAATATACTATTCGGCAGTGTACCTAATGATTAATTTTATTAATAATAATCAAATAAAAATTGTCTAGTATAATATGAAAGAAATAAAAACTTGCAAAAACCATGAAAACTAGTACTCACCTTAGAGAGTTTAATGACCTTTAACATGATGGTACAATATGATATCCTAAAGAAAGAAAAACAAAAAACAATTGCTGTGGTTTATAAATGAATGAATACTCGATTAAAACTGCAAGCATCAAATAAAGCTATGCACATGAGCCAAATATAGTAAAAGCAATATATCATGCTATTCTAGTACTTGTTCCGCAAGCTGCTTCTGTTCATCATCTTTTTAATTAAGGGTCGTACACGCAGAAATGTACATTGTAGTTTGTCCCCATTAACCAATCTTGGACTTTGTATATCCAATGTTGTAAAGGAGTTACACATATATAATAGCCCCCCTATCATCTAAGCTCTTGTATCTCCTCTATCCAACCAATATGGACCACGGTGGTTTTCAATTTTCTTCTAAGACATTTATCAAAAACAAAGAATTTGCATGCAGAATAACATGAGCATTGACACGAACCTGATTGCCTCCAATATAGCAACTACCGTAGCTTCTGTATTTGTAAAGTATCCTATCTCCTTGGCTTGTGCATGAATCAGATCCCCCAACATCACTAGCTAACACATAATGCATATGAACTCCTAACAAGATTGCCTCTTGAAGTTCCATCAGTATTGCATTTCATCCATCCTTCTAGAGGCTGTTCCTAAAGAACCTTTGTGATCTTCAAAGCTAGGGTAAAGCCTTCTAGTAGCTAGTTTGATTTATGAGGGATATGCTGAAGCGATGACCTTCTGATTCTCACTAGATTTTGCACAGTACCATACTGAACATCTGATATATAATCATACTAACAGAAGTAGTGCATCCATGCTTGAATGGGTTTCTTCTCTTCCATAGCTCCCAAATAATTATGGAAGGCATAACATAATAGTACGGTTGCAATCTTGGGTTGACTATAGCTTGCCACCATTTAAGAATGCCCTGATGAAGTTGCTAGACCTGCACAAGAAGCAAAGTAAGAGCAAATCCTACCGGCCATAAGGATGTATTAAAAAGGTGTGGTAAAGTCTCCTAACTCGGATTCTCATAGCACCAATATCCGAATGGGAATGCATACCTCATTCTCCGTAAAGCATCATTCAAAGGCAGTTTTGTTTACCCGAAAAACAGATAGAGTTAAATTTGTGTATGGTTCTAAGGATATGTGATATAATTTGATACAAATCGTATAGAGAAATAGAAATACGTGTATTCTTGACTATAAGAATGAGAATAGTGAGAAGAAGAACGTATAAGATAAAGGGAAATAAATACAAGGGGATATCTTTCAATATAAGAAGAAATCTTTCGTTCCAATCTGCCTCTGCTTACCATCCATTTTTTTCTTTATAGTAGAGGGATCCTACTTTATATACAACAATAAAAAATATGTAGTGGAGAGCCCATGATGTATTGTTTTTTCCCTACTTCCCGCCAGGATTCTCTCCCTTAGTGCGGCTGCAACGGCCTTGTCTGTGAGCTTCGATACTGACTCGAACTCGATATCAGGTCGAGCCATTGGCCTTGACTCGAGCTCGATCCTGACTCGGAGTCTTGATATTCAGGGTGGGTGTTGGTCGGTCTATGCATCTCCGACAACCTTTTGCCTCGTGGTTCGATTTGGTCATGGGCCCGATAATGATACCAAACTGATCCTTGATCGGACTTGGAGCTCGAATCCTGAAACCCCTTTATTCGGACCTCGACCTAACCTTACATAGATACCTTTTGATCAAAGTATTACCGTCTCGATCAGTCCGTATGAGTGACTCAATCGGTTATGACCGTACACAGATAGTCCCCTCGTTTCTCGAAAAAGGATGTGGCGAGAAACGATATGATTTTCCAACAGCTTGATCAGATATATACTGACGTTTACATCGATCTCGACCATGACATATGTGATAGCTGTCCCATCGGTTCGGTTTTACCAAGGCATTTAATGTGTCAGACGGTGGTCGGCCACCTCTGATATTGAACCGTCATTGCTTCAATCTATAAATAGCCTTTCCTTCAATCATTCAAACTTTACGTCTTCAATCTTCCAATTTTTCTAAGTTCCTTTTCGTCTCTTCTGAGTTTTCTGCCTGTAAATCTGTGAGTTTTACTGCAAACTCTTTCTTAAAACACCAAATAATTCCGTTCTTTGTTCACGAAATTTTAAATGGCAAAAACGTCTAAAACTGTTCCGCAAAAAAAGACCGCTTCCTCATCTCGACCTGCTGGTGGCGAGGATGTGGAAGAGCCCCGCCCTGAGGAATTCGTTCCGGTAGGGTGTTCGAATATAGGCGATTTTAAAATTGAAAAGCCTTCTCCGATACCGGGTCGGTGTGAGCTGATATCGAGGTATCAATGTTCAATTACCAAAAAAGTTCTCGATAAAGTCATACAAGAATGCAACTAGGATAATAAACTCGTAGTAATCCCATCGCCTGATGAATCAATTACTACCCACGTCGACGGGTTCTTAAGTGTTTACACTTATTCTTTCACGTTGGGTCCTTTAGACCCTGTCATTGTTGCCTTTTGTAAGAGGTACGATGTGACCCTCGGCCAAATTCACCCTTCCTTTTGGAGGATAGTGATTCTTCTTCGATTTTTCTCGAGCAAGGTCGAGGGGCGTATCTTTACCCTCGATCATCTTATGTGCCTTTATAGTCCCCGACTTTATTGAGGAGGGTTGAACAAGCTTGCTCGCCGAGCAACCAAAGCGCCATTCTCGAGCATAGACAGACCCGGGATCGGGGTTGGATGGGCCGTTTTGTTCGAATCAAAACCTCGGACCTAATCCCTGCCGATGACTTGCCATTTCCTGAGAAATAAAATATGAGCCGTGAGTGAACGTTTCTCTTTGCCCATTTTGATTTTGTGATTGCCTTTTATTTTGTTGATCCATTTTTCTTTCCTTATCACAGCCGTAGCTCGAATGCCGGAACCGATCCCGGATCTTAGACAATGGGTCGAAAGTCTGGTGTTGCAGAGACCGTACTCCGAGCGTGCTTGGGTCGAATTATCAAAGGGTCGATAGGAGGCCCACAGTCATGGTAAATCTTTTTGTCGATTTGTCTCTTCATCGGTTTGTATAGTAAATCTCCCTCTTCCCTTTTATAGGACTCGGGAAAGATGTAGTCATGAGGCCCCCATCTGGTGGCGAAGAAGTTCCTGTCCTGAAGCAGGTAAAAGAAAGGAAGAGAAAAGGCGTATCGGGCTCCCCGAGCTCGGAGAAGAAGAAACCTGCTAAGAGATCTCAAAAGCCGAAGGGGGGCTCTAGTGTTATGACTTCGGAAATGGCCCGCCATTTAAGGGACGAGCCCGAAGAAGGAGAGGAGAATTTAGCCTGCGTACGGGCTAATGTTGTGATTCAACAGTCTTCCAATTTGGTGAAAGCAAATCAGGGAACCTTGGCCATAATCCCAGAGCAAGAAGAAGCTGAGATTATCCCTTCTCGAACTAAGATGATTGAAAAGGACACCGAGGGTGGATCTTCTCGGGCAGTTAGAAGATATTTCAAGGGATGAGTTTGGGACAGTTGACATTGGCGGATCCCCTCAGATTTCGGATGCCATGATTTGAGAGGCCATCATGTTGGAGGATCGGTCCTATGAGGGTATTCAGGAGTCGGCCGATATCCATGGTTTTCTGGAGGGGCTCGAGTCAGGTGCCTCGGAGGAGGTTACCGGTTTCGGTGGAATGCCGGTACCCAAAAAAGTGTTGTGGTCTGGTTCTACCGAACCTTCATCGACTCATAAACTGGTGGACCGATTTTCGGCCCCGAGCATCGATCCCGACCGAAGGCGGAAGATATTGCTCTCCGTACCTGCGGATACCCGAATATTTTCTTCCCCTGTGGGGATTGCCAGCTACCTACGGTCCTTGGTGACCGAAGAAGATCAATCAGTGATGAATGCGGTGGGGACCGCCTGTCTCTTCAATGAGGCCCAACATGCTTTGAATGGGTAACTCTTGTGGCGTGTTCGTTGCTTCTTTTACACATAGAGTTGTAGGTAATTCTAATGTTTCTTCTTTTGTTTGTAGGCTTCGGTGTTGCATCACAAGGCCTTTCTTCGAATCTGTGAGGAGCATGATGCCGAGGTTCAGAGCCTCACTGAGAAGAGTGACTCATACAAGATCCTTAGTGAAAAACTTCGAGCAGATTTGACAGCGGCTCGGGAAGAGCATGAGGAGATGGCTGAGCAGGTATTTCAAATGTTCCGTGATAGTGAAGATGAAAAAGAGATAACCACTAATGATCCGATTCTACAGGTTCGATAGAGGATCGAGCAGATTGGACGGCTTAACTCATAGGTAGATGCGCTACTTGCCAAGGCAGAAAAATTTAAAAAGTGTATGGATATCCTTGCCTCGAAAAAGGAAGCCGTCGAAGCTCAGTTGGAGCTGTCTGATGCCCAACTTCGATCTGCGAAAGAAAATTCTTTGGGGTTGATCGAAAAGACGAAAGAGCTTCAGCATCGGTTGGATTTGGCCACTTCTGATAAAGCAGATTTATCCAAAGAACTTGAAGTGGCCAGATCCGAGGTGATCGAGGCCAATAAAAGAGCTGATGCCAAAGTGGCTCAGTTCAGGATTGATGTCGAGGTTAACCAAGCCAAAGATGAGAGCATGGTCGAACATGCAAAATGGAAAGCTCGGAGAGAGGCTATCGAGGAGGTCAGAGCTCAAGGCTTCGATATTGGGGCTGAGATTGAAGTCACCAGGGCGGAGGAGAACAAAGCTCGAAGGTTGGCCTTTCCTGAGGAGGACTTCGATGACTCGGGGGAGTCTAAAGATGAGGACGATGCCGAGAATACGGCCTCCGATGAAGATTGAGTCATTTAGGGCCTTAGGTCGTTTGCTGCGTTCTTTTGATACCGCTTTCAGTTTTTGTATAAAGAACTTCCTTTTGGTAGAGTAGCCGCCTCTGTATAAAAAATTTGTAAATATAAATCTTTCTTCCTTTTGAAGTAAAATAGCCTTTCAAACTAAGTAGATAGTTTGAATTTTAATCTCTATTGCCTTCGGGCCTTGTGGGTAGTCCCCTTTGCTTTGTCGGGATCGAACATCCTTCAGCTTAAATAGTCAAGTGTTCATTTGAATTCGAAGAAATGAGTAGTTTTGCTCGAAATAATGTAGCCCGTAGGTGTAATGGTCGAGTGAGTACTTGCTCGAACACGAAATAAAAGTAGCCCGTAGGCTTAGTAGTCGAGTGAATGATTCGAACTCGAAATAATGTAGCCCGTAGGATTAATGGTCGAGTGAGTGCTTGCTTGAACTCGAAATAAAAGTAGCCCGTAAGCTTAGCAGTCGAGTGAATGATTCGAACTCGATGCAATGTAGCCCGTAGG